TGTGTGTGTGTGTGTGTATTCTTACCATGTGTGTACATATATATACAACTATAAAAGTTTTTGCTGTAAACTACAATAATTTTAACATAAGTAAAAACAAACTAAAAAATACAAATATTTCATGTGAAAGTTTATTTTTATCACAACAAATTATTCTTCAGTTTCACAATGATGCAGGCTGTACCTGAAGCCGACCCACAACTGGCACATGTCTTTTCCTCCACTCTGCCCTCCAGCAACTTACAGCCCAGAGACCAGACTCATCAACCCAGCTTCGAGAGGCCATCTGGCAACAGTCTGCTCCTCATCATGGAGGTAACCATCATTCCTCCTACTGCTCATGCCGTCTAAATTAACAGAAAATGCCACACAACCTAACATCAGGGTTGGAGTAGAACTTTAGAGCTTTCATTTTACCACCATCAATTTTAATTGGAATTGTTATTTTTATAATCAAATGTGGCTTTTTCTTGCAATTGCTATTAAACTGCTTTCAGCATTACAGAAGACAGCTAACATGACTGGACATTGATTTTTAAGGTTTTTCTCTGAATATTGAGTGTGTGTTTACTTTAAAGCAACAAGGTAATAGCAAGAGGTCATAATTTAATAGAGTTCATTTTTAATGGTTGTTAACCTGGGAAGATAGGATAACTCCCTTTAACAGTTCCCTTGAGATCTGCTGTACAGGTCACTAAACATTTTCTCGGTCATTACAAGAAGTGCTGATCCACCCCGGGAGGGGCTGCCGTGAACGGTGGTGACCGGCTGCTGGAGGCGTCCTGAGCTACTGCGCTGATCCAGAGGCCAGGGTTAACTAAGGGAGTGACCATGAGAAAGAAGGCAGCTAGAGACCGAGCTTAAATCCTCCCAACCCCGTCTCCTGGAGGAGACTCACCTGATTCAGCCACACAGGTCACCCCAGGTGGCTGTAAGACTGTTTTTTCACCTCCAAACCACGAGGGAGACTTGGCTCCTCTTCAAGACCTATCGGTGTCCTCGTGGATAAACTGGGGCAGGAGCCACATTGGATTTCAGTGAAAATCTTATACTCGTCCCAATTAGCTTATGTTAGAACAAATTATGATCAATCAGCAGTTTTCCCTCCTCACCGCTCCACCACAGGGCTGCAATTTGAGCCCTCTTCTGTTTGCCCTGGCCATTGAGCCTCTCTCAATTGCCTTCCGTAGCGATTCAAAAATCGCAGGCGTCTTTTCCTGTGGTCTGGAGCAAAAAGTCTCATTGTACGTAGATGATATTCTTCTCTATATTTCAGAATTTTCCACCTCCGTCCCAGCAGCATTCTCCATTCTGAACACTTTTGGTGCCATATCTGGATACAAGCTAAACTTGAGCAAAAGTGAACTCCTTCCTTTGAATAGAGCTGCAATTGAGTACCCATTAGAGAATTTAACTTTAAAATTGTCAAGCACAAGTTGGCCGCTTTCCAGAGACATAGACGAACACTTTCCCTGGGGGCGGCAGGCGAAGTTGGCCGCTTTGCAGAGACGGAGAAGAATACACCCCCTGGCGGCGGCAGCCGAAGTTTGCGCTTTCTAGAGACGGAGACGAACACATTCCCTGGCGACGGAAGCCATATTTAGCCACTTTCCAGAGACTGAGACGAATACACTCCCTGGCGGCGGTGGCCAAAGTTGGCCACTTTCCATAGACTGAGACGAACATACTCCCTGGCGGCGGCGGCCAAACTTAGCCACATTCCAGAGACGGACACGAATACACTCCCTGGCAGTGGTAGCCTAAGTTGGCCACTTTCCAGAGACGGAGACGAACACATTCCCTGGCGGCGGCAGCTGAAGTTGGCCGCTTTCCAGAGACGGAGACGAATACACTCCCTGGCGGCGGCAGCTGAAGTTGGCCGCTTTCCAGAGACGGAGACGAATACACTCCCTGGCGGCGGCAGCTGAAGTTGGACGCTTTCCAGAGACAGAGACGAACACATTCTCTGGCGGCCGCGGCGGCCGAAGATGACCACTTTCCAGAGACGGAGAAGAATACACTCCCTGGCGGCGGCAGCTGAAGTTGGCCGCTTTCCAGAGACGGAGACGAATATAGTCCCTGGCGGCGGCAGCCTAAGTTGGCCGCTTTCCAGAAACTGAGACGAACACACTCCCTGGCAGCGGCAGCCGAAGTTGGCCGCTTTCCAGAGACGGAGACGAACACATTTCCTGGCAGCGGCGGCCAAAGTTAGCCGCATTCCAGAGATGGACACGAATACACTCCCTGGCGGTGGCAGCTGAAGTTGGCCACTTTCCAGAGACGGAGAAGAATACACTCCCGGCAGCGGCAGCTGAAGTTAGCCGCTTTCCAGAGACGGAGAAGAATACACTCCCGGCAGCGGCAGCTGAAGTTGGCCGCTTTCCAGTGACGGAGACGAACACACTCCCTGGCAGCAGCAGACGAAGTTGGACACTTCCCAGAGACGGAGACGAACACATTCCCTGGCGGCGGCAGCCGAAGTTGGCCGCTTTCCAGAGACGGAGACGAACACATTCCCTGGCGGCGGCAGCCGAAGTTGGCCGCTTTCCAGAGACAGAAATGAAGACATTCCCTGGCGGCGGCCGCCAAAGTTGGCTGCTTTGCAGAGACGGAGACGAATACACTCCCTGGCGGCGGCAGCTGAAGTTGGCCGCTTTCCAGAGACAGAGACAAACACCCTCCCTGGCGGTGGCAGACAAAGTTGGACGCTTTCCAGAGACGGAGACAAACACATTCCCTGGCGGCGGCGGCTGAATTTGACAGCTTTCCAGAGACGGAGAAGAATACACTCTCTGGCGGCGGCAGTCGAAGTTGGCCGCTTTCCAGAGACGGAGACGAACACATTCCCTTTGACACATTGTCACAGGAACTGACATCAAAGGGGAACTCTTTAACAAAGAAAACTCCCTGGTCTTTGTTTAGTGAAATCATATTATTTGAACTCTGAATCTTCTTCATATCTCTGTAATAGAGACTCAAAAATAATCTAAAGAAATATCAGATTATTCTCTACAGTCTGTGTTGTTAGCCATTTCAGCAAAGCTCTGTTCACATGCAGACATTCCCCTTTGACATCACTTCCTGTTAATTCACAGGCAAATGTCTCAACAACTGTTCATCTCAGCGACATCAGATTTCTTTTGCAATATTTTATCAATGTCCTCTTTCTAAAAATGTGTTGATATGTATTTCAAAAATTTGATGTCACACTTTAAAGCATGTGTTCCTTCACAGTCTGGATGACTTCTGTGTTGATTTGCAATGCAGAAAAAGAAAAGGAACATTGAATGAGAAGTTTCACATGGAGAGTAAAGGATTTAAAACTTGTAGTAAAACCATTTTTTGTTGGAACGTTATACCTGCTCCAGATTCAACCTCTGGGAAATGACCCACCCTTGGGTTTGAAGGCCTATAAAGCAAACAACAGTATGTTTTCATTCACCTTTGGGCTGTCTTCACCTGAAGCCTCCTTATCATTTTCTGATTGGGAGTTGTCTCCTATAAGCTCTGAGGCAAGAACACGACTCGTCCTGTAGTTCGAGAGTCCTGCACCCCGTGGACTTGATGGACATGAATTTGCAGCACTAAAAATGAATTTCAACACATTTCTTGAATTTGGAAAGTAAAAAAGAACTTGAATAAGAAAAAAAAGGTACAAAAATGCAAGCGCATTTACCTAATGGTTCCGGTGGGTGACGGCAGTGGGCTCATGAGGTGGGCAATGTTGTCGGGAATGTTGATGGTCAGCGGGGTGATCTGGGGCTGGACAGGTTTGACTGGTGATTCTGGCATGTTCCTTGGTTCTTTCTTGTCGCTAGACAGGGCAGTGAACGTGATTTTTATATTTGTGCTAGGGAAGCGGAAACAACACCTACAAGAGAGAGAGAGAAACAAAACAAAACAAAGGGAGGGATCAACATCAAAAGAATCAACAGCACAGGTAAAGCATATTCATGGTAATTCATTCTTTTTTGCGATTTTTATACCCATGTATGTACCACTGTATATCAGTTTATGTTTTTTTTTAATTTAAAAGATAATTATTAATTTCTTGCTCTTATTTGGTGATACAAGCCCTTATCTTAACTAGATGATTAAATTGTATAAATAGACTACAAACCAGGGATTGGTAGTGATTTTCAAATATTCAAACTCAAGGCTACTTTAAAGAATTGACTGTCGCAATTGTCGTTTTTGTTTTTGCAGGGGTCCTTGTTTTTTCAACAACTACATCCAGCATTCATAAAGCAATCATAAAACTGTTGCTGAGCTTAGTGCTGATTAAGATTTGTAACGCCACATTATGTAATGATGTAATAAAATCAAGCTTCGAATTAAGGATGCAAGTTATCAATTAATGGATTAATGTAAAGTTGATTGATCTTATCGATCAACTAACGATTAATTGATAAGCAGCCATTTTCCTAAAAACCTGACATTTCTCTTGAATCAAGGCTCTTTCTTTTACATGAAGGGCTAATTTTTTACACACTAAATTAAATAAAAGTACAGTATTATATTTTATAAAATTTATTGTATCAGCTGTATTAAACACTGGCTGAATAAACACAAAATTGAGGATTTCTCACACATTATTAAACTTGGACATATTTACAAAATATAACAAAACAGGAATGTATTAGGTTGCTAGTTGGAAAAAAAAGGAAAGTAAAACATTTAATCCACCCTGAACAGAGAAATGCAAAACTAACATTTAAAAAAGGGTAACATTTTAATCTAAAGATTTACTCAAAAACAAACTATAAACATGACCTGAGAGGGGTGAACATACAAATGAGTACTGGAACTGTGTTTGTTTACATTCTGTGGTTCATGCTGCTGCATGATCCGACGTCAGTTACTGTTCATTTGATTTGTTCACAGGCCGGGTTATGTCACACAGATGAGATTAACTTCACGTTAATTATATCTAGTGACTAACTTTTATTGTTTTGTTCTTTCACACAGAGTTAATCTCTACAACAGGCCAGGCCAACCAGTCGTTCACGATCTACCGATCCCTCTTTAGCTGGTTAAAAGTCGATTGCAGAGCAATGGATCACGGAGCTTGTAAAACGCAACATTGTTTAACATTGCAGCCTTAAACGCGCTCTTGTAGAACGCAACGTTTGTTTGTTTAACATTGCAGCCTCGAACGCACTCTTCGCAAAGTTTAACATTGCAGTCTTCAATGCACTCTTTGCAACGTTTGTTTAACATTGCATTCTTGAACACGCTCCAGTCTTGCGAGTTTTGGGTGCTGTGAAACTGCACTCCGAACATGGTCTTGCAAGATTAGGGTCACGTGTTAAAACATGGCAGCGAGGCTGAAAAAAAGAAAGAAAGACAGCTAATAAGCAAATAAAAACTTATTATTTTCACCTGGAGTGGGAAGAGGACTCATATGTAATTCGAGCGCTGCCTTGGCTTGTCCAAAAAGAATAACGTGGAACTGCATTTCTTTCAAAACAATGCACAAACGCCATGAGATGGATTTCCCCTCAAAGGTAAGGCTGCTGCTAATGCAGCCCCGTCCTGCCTCAACACAAAAAACTGTCTTTTAGCAATGAGGAAGTTATGAAAGGAGCGTTTGATGCTGCAGACATGCTTTTCCGTGATTTTAAAAATAAAAGATTGTGACTGCTATAAAGATGTGCAGTTGTCCACCAGGATGGATGGATGTGTCCAAATTTGTGTCCGTGTTTCAGCTGGACTGCTGAAAATGAGGTTTTGACTCTGCAAAATGACATTGGGATCAAATCCAGAGCAACAAGTTGCATGGAAGGAGAGTTCTTCAGTCTGATGTCAGAGGAAACGTATCCCACCATCAGAAGAGGTGCTTTGAATTTGAATTCAGCTTTCTCTCACATGAAAATCATCAAGTCCAAGAACAGATCCACTGAAGACACAACTGGAGACCAGCCTGCTCCTCTCATCCACCTCATACCGCCCATCTATGAGACCCTGGCCTCCTCCTCCCAGAAGTCCCACTAAGGTAGACATACATTTATTTTTACAGTGGTTTGCAAAAGTATTCATACCCCTTGAACTTTTCCATATTTTGTCACATTACATATATATATATATACATATATATATAT